TATATATATATATATATAGTAATGGGGATGGGTTTGCTACCTTCTTATCATGCCGCTTCCTGCTTATCCGAAGACTGATTAACTTTTGCGTTCTTCAACCTTGACCATTCTACCGTATACGTTTTTCGGACGTCTGCTCTTGCGCACGTGCAAAACACCATAATTTCGCAATTTTTTTTCAAGATTCAACTCCTCAGCGATCACACTCGATTGTGAATGGGACTAATTCCACCCTCACTCCGCCTAAGGCCACTTTACCTGGTGGTCTCGCTGCCCGGCTGGTTGACACACTGCGTTTGGGTACAAATGCGGACTACGCTGATTGTTACAATAGTTTTCGTGTTATGTTGGAAATTTTGGCTTGCGAGGTATCCGATCTGCGGCCTTACACGACTCTGTTGGATACGATGTTGACGGTATGTGGCTGATGATCTTTCGGAATTGCTTATACCCCGGGTCAGTGGCTCTCAAATTTCTCTACCGAATTCGCCTCCATGGCCATGTGTCAGAAAGCTATTGCCCATCACTTAGGCTTGAAATAACGCTTAACACTGTTCAGCAATTACATCTTTCCTAATTTTCCGACATGTATTGGTTCACGGACACGTAGGAGATACCTGAGTGTTTTGTTTGGTAATTGGGTCATGTTCTCCAGAGGCCTGCCTGTCCTTTACCTCGATGCAGACTGTTCACCATATCGGGAGCTACCTAGAATAAACCATTTGGAGACTGGATGACCTTGGATCGAAGTACTGTGATACTTTCACCCCGAGTTGCATACACTATGATGTCCCGTCCTCTGAAATGCTGCCCGAAAGATTGGTAACGCTTGCTGGCGTCATGCAGAGTCGAACCAAACGCACACCCTGCGACTGGTACAGTTTTCTCTTACAATACTCTTCCTTGTGTATTACGTTACGTGGTACACACACCTAATATCATGGACTAGGGCTACATGACTATTTTATATACAATAGTTCCCTCAACATTCCCATACTCCCGGACCGTGGTCTCTCTTCTAATGGAGCCACTTTGTCTCCGTCATGCGGGTTTCGCAGCTTCGTAGGTGGGCAAAATATCAACTACCCTCCCCCCCCCAGAAAAAGGAAACCGAAAAATTTCGGCAAGTTTGGCCATACTACTCCCTAGCGAGACCAGGAATCAGGAAACTCAAACAAGATTGGGCACGGCAGTTGATTGTTATTTAGTCGTGGTGAGGCAAAATTCTCGGAATCCATGTATAGCTCTGCTGGTCGTCTCCGGTGCACACTCCTACTACCTAGTGTGCTCAACTGAATTTTTCATCCAGAGTGCCCTCATGGCCCGTGTGTGATACAGAAAATAACGAGACGTACCGTGGAGTTTGAACTCCACAGTAGTTAGTTATGGTCCAAGATACGACACTTCAAAGTATTGAGGAATGAATGGCTTGGTGAGAGCTCATTTGTGACGCTGGCAATCTACCTGGATGATCAAAGTCCTTCGACGATTACGTAATTAGGAACAAAATATGTCTGTCTGTCTAACGTGCAGTGAAACTCGTTTAGCTCATCGTGCAACTCTGATAACCATTGTCACTTTTAGTATCGTCGAAAGATAATGGAGCTGCATGGAGCTGCATGCTGATTCCCGAAGTCACATTTGTAGGCCATGTCCGTCCCACTTTGTGCACCCCTGAATCACATATGTTCACGTAGAATATGACGTGGATCTTTTCTGTCAAATCTTAGTGCCAGTGAATATAAATCGATTGTGCCGGTGACCCAGGCGTCGAAAGTTACCGAAATATCGGCACAGTGTCTTGATGCTTCGTGTCCGCAACTGTTACGAAGGAAGAGCACTTATAGTGTGCCGAATGACTACATGTGGATCCTACGTAATCATCAAACAAGGTTATCTCTCTGCAAATGCAGTTTTTATAAGTTTAAGACACCTGGTTTTTCATTCCGCTGCACGGCTTCAGACTATTCAGTATATATGGTTTTACTTGTTTTCCGATGAGGCACCATTTTGCTTCATGTTGTAGAAGTCGACTATTGACCAACGTCATGCTAGTTACCGACAAAGTCCAGATTGGTACTTGCTTAAGCGTCATCTTACCATGCTGGAGAAACGACAGAATAACAATCAAGAATGTGGATGGGAGCTGCACGAGAATCAGCACCAGTTATCTCGTCATCTGGATGGACTAAACGATGTGCTGGTGAGTGCCCGGGTCACGTTAACCATTTTCCTTTACTCTGTTTTGCTTTCGTTCCGGTTTCCCAATCCTCACCAACTTGAACCTGCGATATGTTCCCTCTGATCCGTTTCGTCTGAGTTCATTTGATTCTGGATCCTTTCAATCACTAACATCAGTTTGGAACGGAACTGAAGAAGTGCCTTGAAAGCTGGAAAGGGTTTTTCGCTTTCTTCTTCCATTACTTGAAGCAGAGTCTATCCATGAATTAATTTTCTACTGCCATACTTCTATCTCCTAGTCCTCACAGAAGAGCTGAGTAATGGGCTCAAGTTTCATTCTTACCTATCCTCTTTAGTACTGCAAGGTGATGGCACTGCCGTTGAACAGATGTATGCAGCCAAATGATCACATAAACAGGCAAATGAATATTCGTCAATGTTGTAGGCAGTGTCGTATTGCAAACGAACATAAATGTCCTTGACTGTTCATCAAGGTCCAAGACCCAATGAACCGAATGCATAGCGGAACGTGAAGGAATCTTGTGGATATGAATCGAATGATGATCGAGGGAAAGTGAACACGATTTGAATTATACTGACTCCAAAGTACGCCTAACTGAGTTTGGACTGCCAAATAGAAAAGTGCAAGAATCAGAATGGTTGTAAGCCACCTGTTTTCGGATTTTCACTTCAAGGCGTGCAAATCGATCGAAAACTGAATGCTTGTTTCTTGTTCTTGGATATAGGTGATATGATCGGTTGACGGAAGTTTGAATAATCGAAAATTCACAAACCAATCCATAGGGTCAGGGTTCATTTATATAACGACCTACGTGTTCATTCTAACCCTCACAGGTTGGTTTGTAACAAGACGATGGACATCACTGATCAGATGTTTAGCGGTCGGAAGCTCATCTTTCCAGATTCGTAGTTTACCAGCCACAATAGATTGTCCATCCTAAGCTTCTCTTCATCGTTCTGATAACATCTTGTTGAGGTGCGGGAAAATGAAGTACATTTGTTTTATTCCGATTTCATTTTATTGTGAGATGTTTGTTTTGACACTCAGCAAAGTATTCGTGTGTTAGGCTAGCATTTAGTATCCATTGGCTCACCTGTGGTTAATACTGTTGAACTTCTCGGTTGTCCAATTCTCTGAGGGATCATGTTCATCGGGTGTTTTTTGCACAGTCGTGTGTGTGAATCGACCCTGTATTCAGCTCAGTCAAACGTTTTCTGCTTCATGAATTTTTTGATCACCGTGATGGTTTGTCCCACATTATGGTTCGAAATGTCCTTTATTTGGTGAGTTGAATTCGAGGGTTTACTTGTAGTTGAAGTTATGGTTCCTTTGTGGCTCACCCGACCTTTACTTGGATCAAGATTTAGGGTTGCATCGATAGTACCCAACAATTTCCAGTTAATTTGTCCTGCATCATTTGTTATGCGCAGTGTTCTGTTTGAATTCGTTTGCTTCCGATCTTTCATCCCTGATAGACCAAGGCCGATCCGGAATTATTAAAGTTTTACTTGAAGTCAACGGATTATCGGCACATGGAATGTCTCATTCAACTCTACCACAGTGAACACCGGGTGGCTGTACGCCGTAAATTGTTGTTGGCCATCGGGATTTGTTGTTCGTTGGATACGACCTGTCTTTCTGTGTCGGTCAACTCGGTCCTACCTCAGGAATTGATTCGCGAATTGAGTTCGGCCAACAGTAGCTCAGGTTAGTTTGTTGTACATAATAATCGGCGCCAGATGTGTACACTTACCAGCTATGACGTCATGTCTATAGTCAATATAAGTTAAGTTTTGGTCTATTTTCCTAACGATTATTCTTAACATATGCCTTATTGGCTGTTTAAAACAGCATGATCTCATGACTTAAAAAATATTGCAATCCCGGCAGTTTTTCTTACAACCTACGCTATTTCTAGGACACCTGGTCCGAATTCCAACCCCTGGTTCTGTCGTACCAGTGGCAACTGACGCACGGTTAGACGATTTCTTCGTTGTCTTATTCTAAAAATTGTCCGGGACCCTTGATCAAGGAGATTGCATGTAGCAGGGAAATAGCACATTTCACTCGTGTTGATCATATGCTTCCAAGGTAGTGTTTCTCGCGGTACAAGTAGCCATTTCTCTCGCTACTGTTTTGTTTCACTAAAATAATTACTGATAAGGTGTTGAAATATTGGTAGCTCGGGTGCATTAACTTATAATTGATCAGTTGGCTGTTGATCCGTTCACCGAGCTTGGCAAGTAACAAACGTTTCGTCACCATTCAGTTCACTGAAGATGTCTCCTCGAATGGTGACGAAACGTTTGCAAGCTAATTACCAAGCCTAGCGAACAGATCAACAGCCACCTGATCAGTTACCAAAATAATTACTGCTTGCCTGGTCCCATCATCGACTCATTCATGAGTCGGTTCGCAATGTGATTTTTTCGTACAGATTCATAACCATAATCTGTTGTCTCACTCATATTGCCGTTCGTAAGAATCTGAGCGTGTTTTTAAAATACAGTCTGACAAATACAGTCATACAATCTAAGGATAAAGTCATCCCTTGAGCGGACGATCAGCCTCCAAAATCTGCTGTCGCGTTACTGGATTCGTCACGATATATAAACAGGAAAAAAGTTTTAACATTTCAGAGAGCTTTGGGGAAGGGGCACTTGATCTGTGCTGAAACCTTTTGGTGGTGGTCACACCGCAAGTCTTCACTGATGGGTAGTACCCAGAGTAGGGGCATTTCTTCTGAGTGACTAGATTACTGTGTCTTTCATTTTCTGATAATCGTGGTGTGGTTTCTACATAGTTTTTAGGGTTTCTTTGGGGCCCCCTTCTGCAAATGGCTCTACCAAGTGTGACTGGTAAGCGATTTGACTGACCCAAAGTTCATCGATTCTCGATCCCCTTTCTAAAGTGCTGAATTCAGGTAGTGATTAATGGAAACTGTCTGAGTTGTGTTGGGAGAGAAAATTAGTAAAATGTTCGTTTTCGTCCCCTGTTTTTCACAGTGCGTTTATCCAATAAACACTGTTTGACCTTCGGGGCAGTGATTTTCTTATTGTGCTAGTGTGTAGAATAACAGGCACTTTATGTTTCGAAGCTCCGATTACAGCAATGTACACTACCTCGTCTATTTGCTCCCCACACTTTGAATTTTCCATTGGATACAGTTGAGCACATTCGGATAATGATGTCTCCATTAGATGCATGGGGTTGGGATTTTCTCAATCCCTAGTTTTGTTTATTTGTGAGTCTTTCATTGCTCCAAACCAAAGGTTTACTTTCGTTCTTTCAAATCCTACGTGTTCCTAGTGTTTCTTGTTCGACTGGCCCTATGTAACTCTAATTTTATACAGTATCGTGCGAATGTTGTTAGAGGGATTGCATTTTCTAACCCGCAAGTGTATATGGTTCCATCTCCTTGCTCACAGATGTTAGTCATCTGGCCATGTGTCTGCGGGTGTTCACTCTTATGCTAGCACGAACTCCGGATTTGCCAGTAGATGTCCGAAGTAAGTCAAGATAGCTGTGAAAGATGCTTCTTTTTGCATTTCAAATGCACCGTTTAATTGAAACCTCATTGGAATCCCTGGTTTTGAACCTTTCGAAGTACCTAGTTTTAGACTTTTTAGCGTCATTTGTTGTGCACGTACGTTTGTGCGTAGCTGTTTTTAAATATCAAAACAAAAACCAATATTACCTTATAACGTTGCTAATATGCTTATCCAAACCAGGCAGCTGATTCTTCGGAAACCCCTGCTTAGAATACCGTCGTGTACGTTCAGCTTGGTATCTTATAGTGTTTCGTGGGATGCTAATTTCACAGTTTGACTTTTGTTCCGCTATCCTCTGTTCGTTCTTCTGGACATCACACTCCTAGCTCTTGAAATCCCACATACTACGTTGAAAAAAACGAAGAATCACGCTGGACGTCAAGAGAATATGCACTACTGCTACCTTTGTTCTGTTCGTTTTTCGTCATTTAAAGGAACTGTTTGCTTGAAATACATATTTACTTGGTCCGCTGGTCTGTTCGCTGGCACTTTGCTCTCCGATTGATGGGCATTTCATTTCTGTGATACTGTAACATACACACAACTACTTTCCATCTTGGGTGACTTGGCTACTCTTTTCCCGGAAGCACCTTCTAAGACGGCCTGGTGCTACTGAAATTTGGAACTGGATCACTTCGCTATTTTTCTCTAAGCGTTCTCTTATACGAAACATCGTACTGAATTTATACTTAAGTCATCTCGTACCAGAAAATCGGTCACTTTCTCATCCTCACCCTCACAAGGTTCCATGCTGACGTGATACACTTGATATACTCCATACACGCGAGGTACATGCTGTCCTCTGTCACATTTCAATGCGGACACAACCAGCTCTGTGTCGATGTGATTTGCTCATATGCAACCTCTTGTGTACACAAGATACATGCTACATCAGTTGCCGAGGCGTAACTATACTACCGTCATAAAAGGGGTGTCGAGCAAAACGGAAAATGATACAAGCTAATCGGCACACAAATGTAAAGGGGTAGGCTCGTAGTCTCATGGAGAGTTTAAGCACAATATGCTGCTGGTAAGTGATCCACTCAGATCAAACCGAAATGCTCTCGTAATGCCAACTGTATACAGCTGTGATCTGTCAATCCTACCCACATGACATTCACAATTACTGAAATTTCGGTCAAACATGTGGTATGTTGTATTTCTGACGGTGACCACATCCCTACTTCAATAGAAAGGCTATTTTCATTTCCATTTCTGAGGGGCAGTTGAGTATTTGAAAGAAACGTACCCGTTTTTCCACCTGATCTACCTCTTACCACCCAGGGATGCGTTCGCCTCAGTTTTAAAACTGATTTGCATATTCACTGCGTCGGCTACCCCATTTTTCGTGTAGTTTATTCTTGTCCGTCCAACCTTTGCTTATTTCAGGCAAGTTGAACAGCCGCTTTATCGTACAAGTTCTGAGGTTCATCGGTGCGACGGAGAAACCGAATTCCGCTGCACCTGATGTTTTGATCGATTTTAATTCGTCCGACGTTACTGAAGACAATGAGAAATGCATGCAGGAACAACTGTTCGATGGACAATTGACACATGCAGCAGCTGCTTTCCTTTTAGCTTGCAACTGGCACTTCTGCTCTATTGCTGCCAAGCGCTCCAGAGGAAGTGGCGGAGTCTCACCTCACATTCCTCCCAAAATTCCACTCCTTGAAGCCCTGTTGTCCCAACCGGCTGCTTGTCGTCCGTTCTTGGAGCTTGTCGTTCAGGCATTCAATCGCGACAGTTAGTTTTCGAAAGTTATTTGGCTCAACATCACTTGAGTGGCAGTTTCAGACTGTATTTCTCGATTCTGTTACGTAATCTTTTCGTGTTCTTGTGGATCCCACTGATAGTTATCTTCACCACATACGGTATTCCTCTCCAATAATCGACTTCCTTACTCTAGTACTAGCAAAAATATTAGCGCTTGCTTTGTTTGGGATAGTGACTCAGTAGGTTTTACTCAAGTCTAACAGACACTTCGGAATTTTCCTAACACACGAGGTTTTCAGTGCCTGTTTTATCTACACCTTTTCATTCTGATAGTGTTAACAATTATTTGCAAACTACTCAGTTGCGAACTGAAAATATCTCAGTGTCCAGCTCTGTGATTTGTAGTTGTATCACTGCTCGTTGAATCAGGATATCCCAAGTATATATCGGGACATCCTGCGAACACTAATGGGACATGAAAAAATTCAGACTCTCCATTTATTACAGCTAAAAGCATCGTAGAACCCGAGATAGCTCTTCAATTAATGTGTGAAACTACTGAGAGGAAGGTCCATAGTTTAGACCTGAACCTGGCATTTCGAGTGCGCCTTTCTAGACTGGGGCAGTCTTACAGTTTATCAATCCCGGTGTCAAAATTGAACAGTTATTATCCTGTTATTATAAGTATTGTTTAGATGTCTGTCGGAACGGTTTCAGGCTTTACTCTGATACGTAAGATTTCGGAAAGCACCGGTACACCCATGTGCTCGCCTGAACCCTACCGACTGATGTCAGTCCACGTCGTCTCCTGAACGGAACAGTAATTTATTGCAGATAAATTTCTCCGCAAACTGGCTACCAAAAGGGAAAGCACGTGAGTTCGATCAGAACATATTAATTGAAAAGGAGGGTTTTTTTTCTCATTTCTGATGTGATCATTAGAGAGGAGTGATATAATCCTTTTAAATCAGCATCCTTTATGTTCTAAGATTGTACATTATCCTAATGGTTCCTGTTTGTCGTTTATGCAATCAGTTGATCCAATCACTTACGTGGACGTTAAACCAAGCACCCAGTCCACACGATCCAAGCGTCTCTTTCGTTGGTCCGATGTGATTTCCAACAGCGCATCTGTATGTACAGATTACGGGCTCGAGTTGGTCGAAAGTGCCAACATAGCCGCCATATTTGATAGCGATACTGAGCAGTCAGACTCCTCCCTGTGTGCCGATGACGGGCAGTACGCGCGTCACATTTGGTCAGATGGTCCAACGATGCGGGGACCACCTGCCACGGTACTCAGTCTACCAAACACATCGTCTCCGACCACTCCGCGCCATAGTGTAATCAAGTTGTTGATGGATTTATTCCATAGCATGGATACAGCTGACCTAGTCTACCGAAATGATCAGGATGTCATAATCGAAGTGATTAACCGTCAGTTGTCGAATCTGACCTTGGACGATTCCGAAGTGAGTCCAGCCTTGTTTCACAAATACTGAATAACCTACTTCACAATGAGCGTAGTTTGCTGGTCGAGCATGTACGCACACCTTTTTTCCGACTTTCTGAATTTTCCCCTGTGCGTCCACCGTAGTTGACAATGGAAACGTGCATTCATCACCTTCTGCAGCCAGATTATAATCTTGCAGTGCATCAAGAGGCTTTCAACTCATGGTGGTTATGTATGAGTTAGGAGCTGGATTGCTGAAAGTATAGTGGTTTGTTTGCTCTCCAAAACTCGTGATATTATTCTTGGGATGTATTCTAGTGAAATCAGCGGGATTTTCCCAAACGATTCTCAAGTTTCGTCTTCCGGGACTTCTGACCCCTATTGTCTTTTTTGTCGAGACTGACCCAATATCCCAACTGTGTGTACGAAGCTTCTAGATCAAAGGCCAAATCCCTGGGATCAAAGCTCAATCTACGTTGGTGTGGTTTAATTGACGCTTTTCCAAGGTTAATGCGAAAAAACTTGAGAATCGGTAGGCAATAAATCGCTGGTGTTGATTATCGTCAGGTTATTCCGTTCGTTTCGAATATCACGCTATTGTTGCAGTCCGTTTTCCTAGTGACCGTTCTTATCTACCGCGAGTCGGTTTTCCTCTCTGTCGTACTTATGTAATTCACGTATTTAATTCCGTTACAGGATATGAGGGAAGATATACTGGTGCCTAATGACTGTTGCCTCTTATAACCTAATTTTAGGTCAAAAAAGGTTGTTATCGCTTTTTCAACCTTTCGGAAACATTGATCAATATACCTGGATTCCCGCTCGGTAATAACTTGCTTATGTGTACAACACGGACGTACTTTCCACTGTCAGTTCTTTTACTTTTGTCCTACGACCACAGTCCACGGAATATGGCCCGACCAGGACGTCCAAATATCGACTAGCGATAGGCCTTATGATGTCTGCGTGATCAGTCTTCCTCTGTTTTCTAGGGACCTGAGTACTTTGTGTCTAGGTTACATGTGCGCTGTGTCTATGTCGGAGGGCTTCCATCATGATTAGTTCGTAACCCTGCAACAGGCGAACCATTTTGTTGTTGTCGATTGCACTGAATCGATAAACATCGCTTCACCGTGTGACTGTTCGTTCTACGTTTCAACTCCATTACACTTAATCAGTATCGTAACTGTGGCCTGTTCTAAAAAAATGGCGGTGTGCGAATTTTAAACTAAACTACTTGCTAAGTCAAGTCGAGTCCGTTTCAAAAACAGTCCAGTGGTCTGGTTGGATAGTTTAACATACGCATCAGTGCCATCAGCAGTTTCACTTTGATCGCATGGAACATGGTCACTGTTTTTTTCATATAGTCGGTCAGCTATTTTGAGAACGAGGAAGTATCTTTTCAGCCTTGTCATCCACGTCATCATGATTAGCACTGACACCATTATCACTCAAGAACACTGGTGCTTCACGGCCGTACAACTATGTTAATTCACTTGAATAAAGTCCTGTAATTGGAAAAATTGAACAGGTAGGGGACCTAGGGCAAGCCTACCGCAAATATCCAAGATGTCCACCCCTCCAACAATCAGCCAGACCATCTCAATAGAAACTGATGGTATGAACGCCAGTTTCACCGCCTAGCCGCCCTATATTTCAGTGTCTCCATCCATTCACAAGTGAATGGGGGCATGTAGGCACCACTGTGAAAGGCGAAGAGCACCCGCACTTTTCTGACAGGTATAGTTCCATCTTGTCATGTCACCTTTTCCCCATTTGTAGCTCTCCTGACATGCCAAAATAGGCTCGGAGAACAATGTTGTTCTCGATAGACGGTTACGGGCCATGCGTAGCAAATGGCCCTACTGTATTAACTTCCGAAGCTGGACGCTATTTGCGAATGAAGTACCATCTGTTTCACCAAAGATCCGTTTTCTGGTCACCGGGTTGCAGTCCTATCCGTTTGTAATTACGGGAAATCGGTGGCAAAAACATGAAGATGTCTCAGATCGTCCGCCTTAGTGGCTAGTCTCAGCATTACAAAAATACGGCTCTCATTAGAGTCTGATGTACGCTTTCCTTGAGACCCAGTGGTATGCCTTCTTGATTCCACGAGTGACGCTCACTGTCAAACAGAATTCTTGTGTTTGAGATTCGTGCGTTGATACCATAATTAGAACTCCCATTGTCTCTCCCCTCGCAATCCTAGAGACGTGTTTAAAGACTACATCGTGCAACGTGACTTCGGTTTGTGGGTTTCGAGCACATGCCGAAGGGCTGAATGGTCTTGGTTCAATCATGCGCTGCTTCGGTTTCAGAAATGAGAACGATGTTGTCTTCATATTTCAGGCCGACAACTTCTCACCTCAAGAGACCTGAATATCCTCGAGGGTTTGTCTCATTGCCCCACTAATGACTCAGTCGAACAGAAACTTAGAGAATGAGCGTTCTTATCGAATATCCCCGCTTGTAGGGGGATTTTGGGGGGCTATCCATACATTGTCATGCATATGGTATTCACGAACTACTTGGGAATACCCTGCTGTGCAGTGTTGGGAAGAACGAATTCGTCAACAGCCTAGAATTTAACCTTGAGGTCCGGGGACACCAAGACTGTAAGGTGTCTTTAGGTAAATTCGCTCTAACGGAGCGTGGAGGTATGAGCTACTTGACCTATTCTCGGTTGGAAACCTGCTTGTTATCGTCTGGTTTCTCAACGTGCTGTCGTAATAAGATGTGAGATGAGCCTTGCGGTGACTAATTGCAGTCTGCATCCAAGTGAGTGTCTTTTTTGGAAGTGGGCACCACTATGAATTTATTCCAATTGGGTGAGACAGTCTCATTCATATAGAGGGAAATAAGTTGAACTAATATCGGTCGAGAATTTCACCTCCAAAAGGGTGACCATGTTTCATCTTGAACCACTTTTTCTCTCGCGAATAATCTCAGTTATGGGGACAGCGTTTTATGGAAACATTCAGCTGTTTATTTTTCAAAGGTATCCTTTTCTCGGTACCGTTACCTTATCTGTAAATTTGGATCTCTTTTTTCTCTGGCTCGCAGTTTTTAATTGCCGCACATAACTTTTCTATACTCTCCAGCGTGTTTTGGATTTCTCGGTGCTTTTGGGTCTCTTGATTGCAAACTCAGACTACTTGGGTCGAGGAGCCTATCGTGGTCGTGAACTTATGCATAGCCTGGAAGTTTTATTACAAGAAGAACCCGCTGAGAAAATCACCTCAGTAACGTTTAAACGCCGTTTCGAATGCGCTCGTATCTCATACAGTCGTCTCCGATCCGCGTTGCAAGGAAAGTGAATCTTGCCACCCACCACAACTTCTAACGGTCCGTCGTTTAAAATTTCGCTATTGCTCATAATCACTATTGTTTTGCTTAAATTTATCGTTGTCATTATGAAATAAAGTAACATGTTCCATTCTCGCTCACTTTTCGAATGTACTCGCTTGGTTTTCCAGGGTTTGCGACATTCCGTGGACTTGTTCGACGAATTTCCGTGGCCGTTGTTCAGTTGTTTAGGTCAAATCCGATTATGGATTTTCGCCGTCACGAAGAGACTGGACCTTACCGTGGTGTGACGGTTTGTGCACCTCAGCGATCCATTGAGCTATACTGGAGAGTGCCCTGCGACACTCACAGAGTCTCATACCAGGTTGGTCAGTGGTTAGAGGTCTGACGAACACAGTCTCCTGGCCCTCCAGGTTGGGGGTTGGAACATGTGGCGACTTGTTCCGTAGATATCGTAATGCATTTGCATTTCCCACCAAACACCGCTGCCTTGCGGTTAGGCTTTTGAGCCAAAGGCTTTGGTTGAGGACCCTAATCGTCCTCCTGTCTAGGTGTGGGCGCCCTGGCAGTATCCCAGCCAACGTACAACCATGAATGGCGCATACACAAATAAACTCATGCCACACCGGCCGTCGCGTAGTGCCATCAACCGGGTCGTCTTACTTGCTGCATACAGCAGGGCGGGTAAGCGAAAACAGGCTACTGCTGACGCCTCCCTTCTTTCTCCTTCACATACTTTTTCTTCCCCCTCTCCCCACCCCATTAATAACTCTCTCCTTGTAGGCCCAGCACTTAGGACTGATGACCCCGTTCGTCATGCATCGGTTTTGCGTGCAGCGTCTGCTCGTCACATGGCGCCGACATCTTCAGGAATCTCCAGATCAGTCCTCAAGCCTCGACACCCACTCTATCTGGCCGCTTTCAATGTTCGCACTCTGAAGCAAGCAGGACAACAAGCTGCTCTTGCACTCACACTGGACTCGCTTGGCATTGATGTGTGCTGTGTCTCAGAAACAAGAATTCAAGATGCAAGCACAGTGATTAAGTTAACCGCCCCGTCAGTCTCCACTCGCTTCCGACTACGCACCTCTGGTGATCCAGAGGCTGCTGCGGTGGGATGTGCAGGGGTTGGTATTGTGCTAAGTCACCGGGCGGAAGTATCCTTACTTGACTGGATACCTGTTGATAGTCGCCTCTGTGCGGCTCGTCTGGCAACGTCTGTGAAGGAGTCTCACAAGCAGTAAGTTGATAGATGTCTGTTTATCGTGTCTACCTA